TACGTTCACGTATTCGAGAATAGATACGTATTTATCATTAACCTAAACGTATCTTATAACCTTATAAAAGACGGCACTTTACATTTATTACTGTTAAATTAAAACTGAATAAGGCACATGACGCTTGCGCCCTTAAACTCTAACTATAATTATGTTGATTTTTCCCACAAGGAAGGCCCGGCATGGCCAGGTGGTTAAGGCACTCGACTCGCAATCTGAGGGTTGCGGGTTCGAATCCCTCTCACACAAAACATGCTCGCCCTTTCAGCCGTGGGGGCGTTATAATGTGACGGTCAATCCCACTATTCGTAGCCCAAGAATTGGCGGTGGTGGTGATGACTATCTGCCTTCCCTCTAGTCTTACACTGCTAAATTAGGGACGGCTAGCTCAGATAGCCCTCGTGTAGCTTTGCGCGAAATTCAAAAACAAACAAACAAAACAAACCCACAAGGAAAGTAAAAAAGAAAACTGGCAAAGCCAGCATTCTGATCCTATGTTACTGGTTTCGTAGACGTAATTTTAACAGTATAGGAGATTAGGTAGTGGTTTAAAAAAATACACACGCAAAAACGCCCATAAAAACCGAAAAACGCAAAATGTAAAACTGAATATTTGTATGTAACCCGGCATGGACCTAATGAACCTTCATACCAAATTTGGTGAAGATCCATCCACACCCTGCGAAGTAGTTACATGGACATACAACAGACAGTACTATTATATTTATAAAGATTACTTCAGTAAAAAGGGTTGTTCCTCACAATATACCCTAGCGGCAAATTCGAAAATCCTAAAACAATATGGTAGTATGTTTTTAAAATATAAAACTATACAGCGCTAAATGAATCTTGTATTCTCGCAAATTCCAGCAGAATTCGTTCAGTAATCGTGTTCCATACAAACTTTAAACTAGTTGTTAACGTAACTGTGCTTCCTATACAAACATATTTGGAACAACAACCAACTTTTACACCCTACTGTTCTGCAACCACGAACTATTTATGCGTTAACTAATCTAAACATTAAAAGACCTCGACACAAACAACCAATTATTCTCTTCCTCAAAACGAACGTTAAATTAGCAAATGAAGAATTTAACGCCAATATGACATATCATTTTAAAACTCTTTCTAAAATAACAGAGGAAACTGTTGACCGGGCATTAATCTTTCGATATTGTTGCCTATTCAACCATGATTGCAAGACTGTGAAGAGCTAGAAAACTTTGTCGAAGCACCAGTTTAAACCATTAATTCTCATAGAAATTGTAACATCTGTTCACATCGTAAAGTTGGATATATTACCAGTCGCCGTTAGGTGTGTTGTTGAAACTAATACCACTGAGTTGAATTTATTACTTTCGAAAGATAGCGTTTATCTACTTATGAAATTTCAGTGCGGAAGACTGTTCATCAGTTCGATAAATTGGTAATTTACCACAGTGTTTTCTGTAAAAAATAGTATATATCTAAATAAAATAAAATAAAGCAAGCAGAAGAGGCTTAACAATATGTTTGATTAAGGGAATACTGATGTATTGATTAAAACATAAGAAGTGAAAGCCAAATGATTTACGAGTAAAATTAACGGTGATTGTTTTATAAAGTGGAATAGCTCAACATGACAAAGCTTATATTTATAAATTAAATGAGGATTATTAAGACCAACCTTTTAGCATTTTGAACCAGGATTATTTATGGACTATCTTTTCTGTTCACATTACAGGAATCGAACTCCTAATTTGAGCGTTATAAACCTTCGAGCTTACCATGAGGCGTTGAGATGGAGTTCTAATTTTACACAAAACGATATTTATAAATATTATATAACAATGTTGTTGTTTGAAGTTAAGCACAAAGCTACACAATGGGCTATCTCTGCTCTGCCCACCACGGGTATCGAAACCCGGTTTCTAGTGTTGTAAGTCCGCAGACACACAATGCTGGTCAGGGTCCTTTTGACATGAAAAGAAGGAAACTTCTATCTCAATTTAATATTTTCAGCACTAGACTGAACTACAGAAGAGGTAGAGCATAATTTCTTTTTGTATATCGAAATACAGAAAGCGTAGCTAAAGTAGTTTTACTATGAGTACTTCACTTTTTTCATCCTACGAGAAAGAAAAGAGTACAAAAAAAAATTTACACGATAGACGATAAACAATTATTAGAAGTGAATTTTGATACTGAACCTTTTCAGGTCAACCTTCAACACAGGTTAATGTAAAATCAGACATAATCCTGTAAATAACACAATAAAAAGGCACAAATGTGTATTTCAAACCATAAATAGCCTCCTGGTGGCTCAGCGGCAAGTGTGAAGTCTTATAGCGCTAAATCTCGGGTTTCGATACCCACGATGGGTAGAGCACAGATAACCCATTATGTAGCTGTGCCCTTAACAACAAACAATCGTTAAAAATGTCTTCACGGTGAAAACAAAATAGCATTTCAGCCCACGCTCAACATAAGTTATCTGTATAACAAAACAGTTTGGTATAACCACGCATTAATTGTATGTAAGTATAATTAAAAGACCACATTAACATTGCAGAAAAAAACGAACGTAATTTTAACCATATATTTTATAAACACAAGACAAATGAATAAAGTTGCTTTATTGTTTGAACAGAATACCCTAACTTTTAATTATTTATTAACATCTTAAACACTAGAGGTTTAGGTTTGTTTGTTTGTTCTAAATTTCGTGCAAAGCTACACGAGGTCTATCTGCGCTAGCCGTCCCTAATTTAGCAGAGGGAAGGCCGCTAGTCATCACCACCATCCGCCAACTTTTGGGTTACTCTTTTTACCAACGAATAGTGGGATTGACCGTTATTTTATAACGCCCCAATGGCTGAAAGGGCGAGCATGTTCGGTGTGACGGGGATTCGAACCCGCGACCCTCAGATTGCGACTCAAGACTTTTAAGACTTTTAATTAAAGGTGCCAACACCTTGGCTGAAAGGGCGAGCATGTTCGGTGTGACGGGGATTCGAACCCGCGACCCTCAGATTGCGACTCAAGACTTTTAATTAAGACTTTTCATTAAAGGTGCCAACACTTTGGTCATGAACAAATAAATTCTACATAATTCTTCACAGTTTATTTTGTTGTTCATCACATACATTTTGGGATAACGTTCACAAGTTTTCTTGAATTATCTGATATTGAGTTTAAGTTGCTAATACTTTTGTCTGCGACTGTAGGGTAGGATTATTTTTTTTAGGGCTAGGATGAAGCTCCGTCCTTTACTTAGCACATTTTCATCAGGTTGTACTAATGGTCATTTACGTAATTTTATTACAGTCCATTTAGATATATGTTTAATGTTAAGAGGCTTCTTCTCTTGAGAACCAATAAGAGATATTAGTCTCACTAATGGTCATTTACGTAATGTTTTTAATGTGCATTTAGATGTGTCTGTAGTGTTAAGGTGCTTCTAATCTTTTATATCTGATGATAGGAGTTAATGCTATACATGTTTCCTTCTCCTTGTGGGAGTGTGTGTTTGGTATGACGTTTTAATACCTGTGCCTATTTCGATAGATACCATTATTCATGCTTTGTTTTATTATCTATCTTCTGATATGAAACTTTAACTTTACGTTGTGTTTATTTATAAGGTGATGTTTGATCCTCTATAATCTCATGGCCTTAATAAGATTCTGAGTAAAACGAAATATTAATATTTTTTTTTGTATAAAACACTTATGGATTTAGTTAAAATGTTTTTCTTGAAGAACTTCATAATTCAATTGTTGAAATTAAATTTATTTTCTAGTTAGCATGCCCGTTCTATGAATCCAAGGATTCGTGGTCCACTACCAATTGCTCGTACTGTGAATCTAAGGATTCGTGGTCCACTACCCATTGCCCGTACTATGAATTAAGGATTCGTGGTCCACTACGCATTGCCCGTACTGTGAATCCAAGGATTCGTGGTCCACTACCCATTGCCCGTACTGTGAATCCAAGGATTCGGGGTCTACTACTCATTGCCCGTGCTGTGAATCCAAGGATTCGTGGTCTACTACCCACTGCCCGTACTGTGAATCCAAGGATTCGTGGTCCACTACCCATTGCCCGTACTGTGAATCCAAGGATTCGTGGTCCACTACCCATTGCGCTGAAAAGGGGCTTCGCACCTTTGGGTCCGTAAATGCTCAATAAGAGTGATGATCGAACTCCACTATTCGATGAGAAAAGTTTAACACGAGAGTTGGCTACCCTTCCTTTGCATTTCACAATTATGGAAAGCTATGCGCATTGTGTAGTTCTGCGAGAAATTCTGAAGCCGACAGACAGACAAAAATCTAAGATGATAAATGGAAGTGAATGATTGTTTGTTTGTTTGTTTTAAGTTAAGCACAAAGCTACACAATGAGCTATCTGTGCTTTGCCCACCACGGGTATAGAAACCGGATTCTAGCGTTGTAAGTCCGCAGACATACCGCTGTGCTACTGGGGGGGGGGGCAGGAAGTGAATGTAATTACATTTCAGCAATGGAAGTGTTATACAGATCATCTATAGTTACATAGTATAAGAAAACAAACAGTAATTATTCGAGGAGTATTTACTAACAAACAGAGTTTGATGTTCTGACTAATTTATTTTGCTCAAAAAAAGCGTATTTACAATCCTGTTACTTAAGTATTTAACAGTATATTTACAGGATAAGCAAGTTACTGAGCTACTTGATAAGCAATATATGATCATTTCTGTCATTTTCTCTCTACAGGTTATGTAAAAGAATCTTGGCGTTTTGGAGAACCATAAACTACAAGTGACGCAAAAAAGAACACTTTTTTTTCCTAGAGGTGGAAGCCACAATTTCACCCTAAGAAGTCAGATCGTGGAATGCTCTGCTCCAAACAGCCCAAGATTCCTTTAATAGCTTTGGTATTCCATTCTACTGCTATCAAACGTCCTAACTTGGAATTCTGTTCCTGCTTCCAAGAAAACCCAAGAGTGGCCAACGTTAATAGGATCGAATGAGATGGATGACAAAAAGAACGAAACAAATGTTCACCCAGATGGCGCTGTGTGGAACGCAGAACTTATTCAACGTGTTGCTACGTTGGGGGTAATAATGGTAGCGACTTTAGTTGGTAACTTGATGATTGTATTAGTTCTGTCTCGATCTCGCTACCGGAAACGGTCCTCTAGAGTCAACATTTTTATTTTAAACCTAGCTATTGGAGATCTTGCCGTTTGTTGCATCACCATGACTTCGGAGATGCTGTTTGAGGTGAGAATAAAAACATTTTATGCTTTTAATTCTCACAACGTGGAACATCTTTTTTTTCTTTTTTTTATCTATGCGAGCCTCTGCAAGCATACCAAAATATTAGTAAAGTTATTCTTAGAAAAAGTCGACCTTTCAGCCGTGGGGGAGTTATAATGTGACAGTTAGTTCTATATATTTGTTACTAACTTACTGTTATTTTGACAACCTCACGTATACCAGTGAAGTTTGTATCATTATCCCTTACATCTGGTTTCCATGACTGCACATCGATGTTTCCATCTTCCTATTTCTATACATTGCTTCGTAACGCCCTTTCAGCCGTGAGGGCGTTATAATGTGACAGTCAATCCCACTATTCGTTGGTAAAAAAGTAGCCCAAGAGTTGGCGGTGGGTGGTGATGACTAGCTGCCTTCCCTCTAGTCTTACACTGCTAAATTATGGACGGCTAGCGCAGATAGCCCTCGTGTAGCTTTGTGAGAAACTCAAAACAAACAAACTAATCGTATGTGTAATTTTATATGGGCTACAAATCATTTTTTTGTGTTACTGTTTAGTAAAAATACTCAATAGTGGTGTTTACTTCGCACCCATAACCATTGTAAGTGACGATTTCGAAGTACATACCCACTGCTATCATTGGATAAAAAAAAAAGGTTTTGTTCTTATTCACACCCATAAAGTAAACTACAATTTTCTTTCTGTAACGACCGCAGATCAAACGGCTAGAGTCCCCCAGTGGCACAGCGGTATGTCTGCGGACTTACAACGCTAGAATCCGGGTTTCGATACCCGTGGTGGGCAGTGCTTAATTACAAACAAGCAATGAAACGGCTAGATAGAAGCAAATTTATCCATTCGTCGATACATCAAACAGTTGTCCATTTTTGTACGCGATAAATTGTCCAAAATTAAAACGTCTCAAAAACAAACACGGTCAAAACAGTAGCAAGATCAACTTATGAAGTTTGTGTGAAAACAGAAATGATTTATTGGTTGTAACATCTGCTAATCTGTTGTGATAAACTAGGTAGCAGTATGTTCGGTGTGACGGGGATTCGAACCCGCGACCTACAGATTGCGAGTCGAGTGCCCTAACCACCTGGCTATGCCGGACCTATTAATACGCGTTGATAAATGATATTCAGTAATAATACGCGTGCATATTATTACATTTACTATTAATGCTATAAATCAATAGTATCTTTTTACTGGTTAAGTAAGAATTACATTGGTATTTTTATCGGCCCAAGTGATTTGTTCTTAATTACTAACGTTTCTCATGTAATATTATCCGAGCACCACATTATCTCGTGTAGCTGCAGAGAGAAACACTTAGTAAAGATTAGAGGTTTTCATGGACTTCGACATGCACATCTGTTCACTCCAGTTGTTAAATCCTCTTTCAGTCTAGTAAATACATGTTAACTCTGCTACACAGTGAGTTCCTACCGCTGTATGAGTCGACTTCGATACATTTAAAACCAAGATATATTTTACAATATATATCGATACCTGTAAAACCAAGATATATTCTACAATATAGATCGTTACCTGTAAAACCAAGATATATTCTACAATATATATCGATACCTATAAACACAAGATATATTCTACAATATATATCGATACCTGTAAAACCAAGATATATTCTACAATATATATCGATACCTGTAAAACCAAGATATATTCTACAATATATATCGATACCTATAAACCCAAGATATATTCTACAATATATATCGATACCTGTAAAACCAAGATATATTCTACAATATATATCGATACCTGTAAAACCAAGATATATTCTACAATATATATCGATACCTGTAAAACCAAGATATATTGTACAGTATAGATCGTTACCTGTAAAACCAAGATATATTCTACAATATATATCGATACCTGTAAAACCAAGATATATTGTACAGTATAGATCGTTACCTGTAAAAC